GGGGGCGAATAACCATGGCCCCCCAGTAGTAGGACAGAGCCATAAACTTTGTTGCTCTCAAGTTTTCATGACTGAAGCGGTGGCGTCGAAGATTGCAGGAGATGTCTTCATCGAGACTTCCACCTTTGAGAGTCAACAGACGTATTTCGTCCTGTTGGATGCGACACTCTGCGAAGCTGAACTCAGCAGACGAGCCCATCGTGGCGGTAGCGTAAGGTTTAGCGTAGGATTATAGTCGTTAGGAGCCGTACGTGAGAAGTTTGACACTCTATATTGTGTTAGTTGAGGTCTAAAGCCATAAACTGTAAGTCTATGTTCATAGCACTTTGCAGAAAGTCGCGAAAAATGCATTTGTTGAATAAGCTACGAAGAGATGGTAATTTTGTATGAATGGGGCCTGTAGATAGAGTATTAACCTGCACTGGCTAATAGCCATATTAGTTTACGATTAGCGAGGACAAGGCTTATGTATGCGGCATGTGATAATGTGGCGCTGGTAAGCACGCGCAACCCTCACCTGTTTACAATTATCCAAGCAAGATCGGCGATGTTTCGCGCGGGCAACCTGCAATGATTTTCAAAATAAGACAGGTCGGCAATTCTCTTGCATGCGCAGGATGACCTCTCAAAATTTCTTCGGATGATCATGGTAAGTCCGTCTCCAGGTATACTGAGATAAGAGAGTACCTGCTAAGAGAGTGTTTCTAATCTGTAAGGTGTTGAAAAAAAGGCTACTTGTTCTACAAGTGATTAATCTGCCTGATATTTGACTAGCGTGGTGAGTCGAAATGCCTACATTGCTCGGAAGGCGGCGTTTAATCAAGCAACACAGCCTCATGCAAGGCTTCCTAGGGACGATGCTGCCCTTTCGCCCGCAATACGTCCAAAGACCACACACTCCAACAGTGAACTACCACCAAGCCGATTTGCCCCATGGATCCCGCCCGTCACCTCGCCTGCTGCTAGAAGTCCCTTGATTGGCTTTCCCTCCTTATCCAAAACCTCCGCATGCTCGTTCATGATAACGCCGCCCATAGTGAAATGTACCACAGGCGTAACTTGGCCGATATATACGACCGAGTCTGGCGTGACATCCTTTAGCTCCCAGTGTCCGAAGCTCTTTCTGCCGAATGCGTCTTCCGATTTTCCTGCCGCAGCATCGGCAAATTGCTGGATGACTTTCCTGGTTTCGTCGCCACCAAGTTCTCCGACAGTCGTCTTGCTCATAAGCCCCTTCCAAAGATAGAAGTCGATGTGGCTCTTTGCCGCCTGGTATGCTCCCTCGTCCAATACAATCTTAACATCCCACTGCTTGATGCCATCCACTTCCGTATTTTTCTCCTCCATGATCTTGTCGGTGACAACCTGCCTTGTCTGAAGCTCATCAATAAACCTCTTTCCACTTCTCAGCATCAATCCTCCCTCACCCCTCAACACCTCTGCGGCAAGGAATTTAACCGGCTTTCCAAGCTCTTTCAGATCTACAAAACCAGTAGGATGCACTTGCACCTGCTCCATGTCCAGGAGCTGCGCACCCAGCGCAGTGAGAAGCGGTGTTGAGCCGGGCCAAGCTTCGTTCGTGGACGGGAAACCAGCAAGGTCTGGGCGGTATTGCTTCAACATGCCTTTGGAATCGCCAGCAAAGCCGCCTGTCGCGAAGATGACAACAGGACTGTTTAGAGATTTCTTGCCGTCGGCAGTAGAGTACTCAACGCCGGTGATTTCACCGTTCTCGGATTGCAGGACCTTTGTCACTGAAGCGTTTGTCTCGAGCGTGAAGTTCGGATCCTCGTTCAGCTGTTTCAGCAATGTCGTTACGATTGCTGCTCCGGGAGGCGTTTGGCCCGCTCCTCTATGAGTCCTCGGGATGCTGTGCCCACCCAGCATTGCGACTTTGCTAAGGTCCACGCCTTTCTCGTCTGATAGCCAGTAGATGGCTTCCGGGCTCTTTTTGGTTAAAGTTTGAATCAGGCTCTCTCTCTGCGAACGCATCTTGCCCATTACTACACCGGCGGACTTAATAGTGTCGTCGTAGAAAAGATCATCGGAAACCGACTGGTATTTTGTCGGTGCGCCATTGATACCGCTGGAAGCTTTGATGCTGTTTCCGCCCGGCTTCGGAAGACGTTCGAGAAGGTGGACCGGTATGTTTTTGGAGAGAAGAGTGGACGAGGCTGTCAGACCAGCAAGACCGGAGCCGACGACAATGGCGTGTCTTGCTGCGTGGCTGGATTGTGAAGTTCCGCTCATGATGGTGCTCGTGAGTCTCGAGTATAGCATAGAAATCAGAGGAATCAAAAAGGCAAACGCGAGTAGAGCGAGGAATATTCTCCTCGCAGGCATGAGCAAGGAGGAATATTTAGATAGGGATAGGGAGATTGGGATCAATATAAGGACGAATGGTTCCAGCTCACGTTACTGGTAACATGAGGTGAGGTGTAGTCTGATCGGCCGGAGTCGGGCGACGGTCACGCCACCGCGTGTTGTAGCATGACCGGAATAGGAACGAATCGACTGGATCGTTTCAGATTGTAAGGCGTTTACTATGTAGTTAGTAGCTGTATAGCCGTGCCGGCCCACCTAGTAGTAAGTAGGTAGAGGCATTTACCAGTGTTTCTCACGTGAAAGTCCTCGCTATCCGAAGAGACTCCGGGTAGCGATGGAGCATTGTTGATCGGAAGGCTGCTGCCCCCCACTCACTACACCCCCCTAATCGGGCGTTACTTGTCGGTAATGCGACGTCAGCTGTTTACAAAACGGCTACCCACAAGGTGTTGGAAGTTAGTTCGCCCCCTTGGGACGCCAGTTTGGACAAGTAGCGCGGTATTTACTAGCGTTGCTGCGTCAGTACTGACTCGATCGGTGATAGACAACCCGCGCCTGCTACAGGATAGCAAAATGCCAAATACCGCCTAAAATCCACCTCTTGCTATATTCAACATTAAAACCAGTTATCGCACGTCGATTACTCGTATTAAATTAATTAAATTTTAAGAAATTTACTGCTACTCGAATTAAGACTTATTAATATTAATTTTTTTTTTCGCGTTCTCCGGTCCTCTCACCTAAATTTTAGCGGCGCAGGCGGAGAACACGAATCAGAAATGACTCGCGTAAGTACACGAAATATGTGTAGGCAAGTTGCTTAAATTCGATAAATTAGCTACCGACCCATTGAATGTGGCGTCCCATGGGGACGAATCAACTCCCAACACCTTGTGGGTAGTTGTTTTGTAAATAGCTGACGTCGCATTGTAACGAAATGACGCCTAATTGGGGGGGTGTAGCGAGTGGGGGGCAGCAACCGCACCACGTCCAGCAATGCTCCTCCTTGCGCGCGATTGCTCCCACCAACGCTACTGTTACCCCGATTACTTTGAGATTCACTACTGCTGTTGCCGCCGTTGTTTCGGGCAGTAGTTAATTCCACCACCCATTTTAACTAAACCCACCACCCCCTCACCACCGCCTGCCTAATCAGGTAATAACCCGGCAGAAAGTTGCCTTCGCGACTTCGCGACGCCCAACTACATGCGCATCGCGCAACAACACTACGCAACCCACTACCGCGCACGTCGCTCCGCACGTCTCTACAGGCCTGCAAAATGGCCTACGACCTCGCCGCTCCGCCTGAGAGCTCTTACCCTACGTCGGGCGCTGCCTGGGACGCCGCTATAGCCTTCGCTGCGGACCACGGATACGGTCTCTACAATGCCGGGTCCAATAAGACAGCTGGCGTGCTGAAGAAGATTCGCATAGGTTGTGACTGTAAAGGCAACTACGTCTCCTAGGCTCGTGTGAGGTAGTTAACTAGTACTAAGAAGACCGACTGTCCCTTTCAGATCGTCCTCCGCCTGCAGCCCGACGGTATATAGAGGATTGAGACGTCTGCTACGAAGCCTCATAACCATGAACCGTCTAAGGACCCGATTGCTCACCCATGCCACCGCCGGGCACAAATGACAGACGCTGTAAAGCAGCGGATAGAGACTCTTGGCGTTTCTAGTAACCCTAAATAGATCCGTGTATAACTACAGCTCGACAACCCGGAGAGCTTAGTTACAGATGCTGATATAAGGAACAACCGTGCCAAGATCAAGCAGCAACGCCTCGGTGGACTAACAGCGCTTCAAGCAATGATAAAGGAGCTTCAAGAGGATAACAACTATATCTCCACCTATAAATTGGACCCCGAGAGCCATGCCCATACTGTCTTTTGGGCCCATAAGGAGTCACTGCAGCTACAACAGCGTTGGAGCAACGTTATCATGCTTAATTGTATATACAACACGAACAGGGAGCGAGTCCCTCTACTCTATCAGAACACACACAACCATCAGAAGGGAACGTAACAACTAGCGCTCCCAGGGACCTAAATCCGGCGCCAAACGAACCGGCACAGC